TTGGAATAAATATTATTCTACGTAAGATGTAATGTCAACTGTATCTTAGTCCCCTATGGGTCTATTTACATCCAAATTAATTCTGCCGTCCTGTAGTTAAGTGGTGACAAACATTCATGCATTTATAATATGAATCAGAAATAAGTAGATAAGATAGCTGAACAAAGCTTGAGTTATCAAATGTAATATGAATTAACTGTAACAAATTTTTGTTATCCTCAGAACTACTAAGAGGTTCTTGAAAATCAGTCCAATGGTTTATGAACGTATAGGTAACAAACACACAAACGCTGATTTTGTTCCTAAAAAAGAAAATTTCAGCAATCATATCTTCCTCTTTCTTAGCCATAAGTCGCCCACTGCTGGGCAAAGATCTCCCCCAAAGATCTCCACGCTATAATAATATTTTAGTAAATAAAAAATGTTGATATAATGAATTTAGTATAGTATAATGAATCTATTAAATTGTTTTAGTGTGTGTGTAATATTGTAATTATGTATACCAACCATTACATGAAATAAAACGTAATTATTATTATTAAAACGAAGTATCTCAAAATATGTTTTTGTATTATACATATATGTATGTATAGAGTTAAATATCATTCACTTTATGTAATGAATAGTATTTAATGAACAACAGAGAATACATTAATTTTCAAAGTCAAACGAGACAATGACAATGCCGGGTCCCAGAACTAATAGTGATGAACGACAAACGGCATGTCCCGCGAATATTAAACTCCCTTGGAGCTTTGCTATTCAGTAATGTTGCCGCAACAAATATCTCATATTAATTTAAGAGGAAGCAATATACTTAAAATTCCCATGAAATTAAAAAAAATATATTATAACAAGGCGACTTTTTTGTTTGTAAGTTTGCAAAAGGTTCGGTTAAACGTTTCTAAGAATATTGGGAGCGAGTTCTGAGATATGGCACGTTTTAAATCTCCGTCCGTACAAAACGGAGAAATTTAAAATTATGCATAAAATATTTTTATTTAAACGAAGCAGTTTTCAAGTAACCAAGTGCCTATTGAGTACGGCAGTGAATCTAAAAAAGTTTTATACGTTTTAAAAAAAAGAAAATAAGTAATACGAGTTACGAAGACTGAATGATCATTAGTTGATTATTATTATTTCTTTAAAGGTGGAAACAATAGGTGATGCGTACATGGTGGTGTCCGGACTTCCGGAACGTAATGGTACACGGCATGCCCGCGAGGTGGCGCGCATGGCACTCGCCCTGCTCGACGCCGTCAGACGGTTCAGGATAAGGCATCGACCGCACGATCAGCTCAAACTTAGAATCGGCTTGCATTCTGGTAAGTATTGTTAGATAGAACTATTTTATGTCCCAATGGCTTAAGGTTAGAATAAAATGACGTTGGGTTTGCACAAGCTATCCGAGATTTATGATTCTAACTAAATCTTTAAGTTCTTAAATAAAAATTTTGCATACAGACTTATCTGCTAACAGCGAGTTCATATAGCATATTGATTTCTTTATTAAAAAATCCTGAAATGTGATAACATCTATACTTCTAAATACTTTTACTAATGAAAAATTCAAATAACAGGTCCTTGTGTCGCCGGAGTAGTTGGTTTGAAAATGCCGCGGTACTGCTTGTTCGGCGACACAGTGAACACGGCTTCACGGATGGAGTCAAATGGAGAAGCTCTCAAGATACACGTTTCGCCGACTACGAAGGCTCTATTGGACAGCTTCGGTACATTCCGTCTAGAGTGCAGAGGAGAAGTTGCTATGAAGGTAATTCTTGCATTATTAATTTAAAATGTAAGGTACACGATATTTCTTGATTATTTACCTATCTGACAGCATTAATGTACCGTAGCATAATATTTAAAAACTGATTTTGGGTATCTTCCTCCCAAATATAAAACTTATATATAAACTTATCTTTTCTTCTGTACAGGGGAAAGGAGTTCTAGTCACGTATTGGTTGTTAGGTGAAATAATCGATCCGAATGCTCCTAAAGAAAAACCTCATATAGCGAAGTTGCAACTGCAATCGAATGTGAGCGGATCATTGTCACATCTGACACCGTTCAAGCAACGATTAGATCACGGGTCGAGATCTTCGAGTAGACGAGGCTCTGGAATATTTCAGCAGCAAAAAGCAAATGATTTACATAAATTAGAAAAAGAAGTCCAACCGTTCCTACAAGTTATTAAAATGCAAAGACAACTATCGGAGCCCACGGAAGCTGTTACTAATGGAGTTGAAGATCACTCTACAGACACTGACAAATTAAACCCTCCTAATTCAATAGCACTCAATGTCAGCACTCTCAATCACAATTCAGTCAATCAAAGTGGCCAACCCAAAGTGAAACTCAAGGACTGTCAAATTAATTCTATTGGAAATCACAAATCGAATAAAATAGGTAATAATAATTGGCTACCAAAAATATCATCAGCTAGTTCCTTTGATAGCGCTTCTAAAAAGAGTACGGAATGTTTGAAAGATTACAGCGGAGTACCGTTGTTGTCCAAGGCTGAAACACCCAATGATTCAATCGTCTAAATTACTATAAGTCATCATCATAATCAGCTCACTAAACGTCCCCACCGAGGGGCTCGGAGCCTACCCTAAGTTAAGGGTAATTAGGCCAACAACCACGCTGGCCAAGTTCGGGTTGGTTGACTTCACACATATCTTTGAATTTCTTCTCAGATATGTGCAGGTTGCATCACGATGTTTTCCTTCACCGTAAGAACGTCGGATAAATGTACATATGTAAATCGAAAAACAAAAAACACATTGGTACATAGCGGGATTCGAACCCAGGACCTGCAGATTGCAAGTCAAGCGCTTGACCACTGAGCCACCGACGCTCATCATGGCTCGTCATCATACTATAAGTATGTTAATTTAAAATGTAGTTTAATTAAAATCACAGTGTTGTGCTTAATTAATAATAAATGAGAGAATTGTTATTATAAAAATGACGTCATCTATATGTTAGGTGATAAATTGAATGTTTGTATGTAATATTGGAGTCATTCCTTAAAGTACTTTAGTCTTTATATCTTGGTGTTGTCATAAAATGTTTGTTGTATTTTTATTTCGTCGAAAAACTGAACGTATACTTAATTTTGTATTTATTAATTTCAAACTCGATGAGTCTAGGATGTACATATTAGAAGAATTGAGCATTTATTTATTGTAAATATGGTACTAGATGTAATTTTATTGTGATCTTAGATGGTATGAAATGAGTTTTTAATTTAAACTATAAATGTTTCAGAAACGTTTTAGAAAATACAAAAGAATGAAACTATTATGTTTGTTTTATTTTATGGAGTACTAAGTCCGCGCAAAATTAAAAAAAAATTAAGTAGCCAATGTGTTGTTCCAGACTACGTTCTACGTCTATGTCAAATTTCAATGAGATCCATGCAGTCGTTCCAGAGACCTTCCAACAATCGATCCATCCATCCCTCTAAACATTCGCATTTATAATATTAGTAAGAAGTAAGGTAAGAATGGTTTGATAAAAGCATAGTCATGATCATTATTTACTTTCGATGACAAAAAACAGACCCCTACTGGGTGTGTTGTTTGAGATGTGCTTAATATAAATATCGAGAAATTAGTGTAAATGTTCGGATGGATGTTTGTTACAGGATAACTTCAAAATGGCAAAACTCATCTAGATTAAAATTTGGTACATGAACGTTTCCCTATCTCTCAGCAATAAAATATTTTTAATTCTACATAAACACATAAACAAAGACTTTTTTTTTATATCACAAGCTGGCAAACGAGCGAGCGGCCACCTGAAATCGCGGAAATAGCGAAGTGACCGTTGCCCATAGACATACGCAATTGCATATGCGTTGCCTACCTTTAATCGACGGAGAAGAGGATGCACAGAAAGAAAATATTTTCCCTTTCCATGCATCCTCTCATCCGGAAAGTCCTCTTCCACTTCCCATCCTTTCCTTATGAGAAATATGACGGGAAGGGAAAGAGGACTAATTTTGGCCTCCGGGACGCACACTCATCAGACGAAACGCGGAATTGCTTCCACTTCACGCCTGTCTTCTGTGTGGTCGTGGTATTTCACCGGGCGAGCCGGGCCGATTCGTGCGAAGATGTTAAAGCGGGCTCTAACACTGTTAAAACTAACTGCTAACCGATTTTTAATAAACGAATGTCAGTACAGATTTATTAAAGTGGAAAATTTTAATTTTTATGAATGATATATTAACGTTTTATTATGGCAGGCACTGGACCGGTTCAAGCAGGCTATCGAGAATTATAAAACCGGTGTTGTATAAAGCATAGATATAAATAAAGCTATAAAAGTACCAAGATATAAACATATCTTACTCATAAATACGATTGTCTTCATGCATGGACGGATTTTTGTTAGTAGGCATCTCCAGAACGATTGCATGGATCTTGCTGACATTAAGCATGGTTGTAGAACATAGTCTGAAGGAACACATAGGCTACTAAATGTTTTTATTTATTCCACGAGGACGGAGTTATGGGTAACAGTATATTTAATATTAAAACATATTAAATTGATGAATGCTATTTGATATAAACAAATTATAAATTAATAATCAGATTCAAATATCATACGATACTAGTAACAGCCGTTGACAGATTATTTGGTATCCCAAAATCCGTAAATACTTAAGCACTTGACAAATCGCAGTAGTTAAAATTACTACAACTTTCTTGGTTTGTCCTACCAACCTATAGGTATTTTGTCTTGTACTAAAGATATCAAATCTGTGAACAATATTATCTTCGTACTTGCGTTAATAAAATGATTTTTCACATATTTCATAGCATAGTGTGTGTTACAAGTATTATGAGTGCAAACAACTATGATGTGCCTCTTGTCATTTAAAGTCACGGTCTCGTCCGCTGTGGTTTATTATAAATATCGTTAGTTGTTTAAAACTACAACTTAAATATTAACAATTTATAAAATGAATTTAAAATTTTATAAATTTGTATACGTTTTAACACTATTTATTTTTGGTAAGTTCTGTTATAACTTTTTTATAAACTTATTATTTCCGTTTAAACGTAAAAATTGTAGGCCTTTATGATTATATCTCTAGGGATTGAAGAGACGGGAAGGTAGCTAATGCAAGCATAATATAGTCATTTTTTTAATTCTGAGCCAACGAAATCGCGGTCTACATCTAGTTCATAAATATTATAATATAATAAAATAAATAAATCATCGTTATCAGAAAACATATTTATGCTCTTGTAATAATTCACTATATTTATAGTTTCTCGGAATAACGGCGAAGATGTCTCAAAGAATAAAACGTCTCATAACACGGAGGTAAGTAGATTGTCTTCTAAAAAAATATATCTTGAGTAAGCGACATACTCTCATGCCATTCTTTTAAACAAAGAATATGGCTTGTTAATATTTCACTAAAGATGAAAATAAACAATGATACATGTGATCTGAGAGGGGAAACAAATCAATTTAAATAAAATCTTACTTATTAATATAAATGCGAATATTTGGATGGATGGATGTTTATTATATACGATACGGCTGCACTCTGAAAGAATCTGGTATAGATGTAGACTGCTAGCACATATGCTACCTATGGTCTCGGATATGTGTACGGTTCCTGTGGGATACGTTTGTTTTACATATTCACACGATAAGTTAGCAAAGGTTCATAACGTCTTATTGAAATTATGCACAGATATAGAACATAGTCTCGAGTAACACAAGAAGAGACAGATAACCCTTTTTGTAATTTAAATGATAATAACTTTCGCATAAAAACGCATATACAGCCGTCGTCGTAAAAATCGTCTTTGCTAAATTTGAATTTTGCAGTTCATTGATCCGTTAATAGAAGCACAAAGTATTAAGTTATGGAATGCAACAACTGGAGAATTCGATAATTTATTAGAAAAGTACAAAGATTACTGCAAACCCATGTACTATTATACACCTGACTTCAAAGCAGAAGGACGTCGCGTTAGTGAAGTTAGTAAGTATTGAGTAGAAGGCATTGATCGAATTATGATCACTATTCCATCCATCCATCCATCCATCCATCCATCCATCCATCCATCCATCCATCCATCCATCCATCCATCCATCCATCCATCCATCCATCCATCCATCCATCCATCCATCCATCCATCCATCCATCCATCCGTCCGTCCGTCCGTCCGTCCGTCCATCCATCCATCCATCCATCCATCCATCCATCCATCCGAGGAGGAAAAGCGATAATCCTGTTGTAAGAATCGTAGTAAAAAAAGAGTTATGTTTGTATATTAATATTGAAAACTATTTTTTATCAAACGTTGTTTTGATATTTTAGAGTGCTTGGAATATATTTGGAGAATACGATACGACATTGCAGTACGGCTAAGAGAGTTCGAGCCATGTAAGTTTTTAAGTATAAGTACATTCAAGGGAAGGATGGAATGAAAATCATCATCATAAACCTGCCCTTATTCCCTACGGAGGGTCGACACAGTATTTACTCCTCCATACATCTCTATCAGTCGTCATATCTGAATCTACCTCGTTCTTACGCATATCCTCTTTAACACAATCCATCCATACTTTCTTTGGTCTTCTACCTGTGTAGCCATCCATATTCAATCTCATTACTTTTTTGTTGTGATGGAATGAAAATGTTTTGTGCAATATATTTCGGTTAATTTAACCAGAGATTATGTACAAGGTCCTAATCGGGGGATATACAGGCCCGTTGTCATCGGAGGTGATGATGCTGAAGTTGGCGAGATTCCACATATGGTATGATACTTTTTATAAACACTACGAGTACATTACAGACTGTCCTGATGCCAGCTATCGGTACATTGAATGTTGAGGTAACTCAATATATAAATATTGCAAGATACACATAGATGTCTTAAAAATTGTATGTAGGGAAAAATAGGTCATGTAAAAATTTCTATGAAATAAGTAAACAGTTCTGGAAATTCATGTCTCATTGAGAAAATTTTCATTAGGTTTTTTTTTTATATCAGAAGAGCAAACGGCCACATAAATTTGCTGATTTACCGAAGGGACCATTGCCTATAGACATCTACAATTATAGATGAGTTGCTTACCTTTAACCGTCACAGTAGGGGACGCATAGAAAGATGATGTTTCCCCTTCGCTTGTGACTCTTCCTATGTACTTCAAAACTACTTCCTCTTGCCATCCTTTCCTTCTAATAAAAGGCTGGAAAGAAAAGGTGGCTTAAATTTAGTTTGTTTTAGGGGGCTATTGGTTGGCTCAGTAGTGGATCTGCGCTGTGGATATTCAAATGTGGTGGAGTTCTTATCAGTGAAAAGTTTGTGCTCACTGCTGCCCATTGCTCGAGAGTGACTTCGCGTGATACCACTGTCATAGACGTAACACCTAAAGTTGTTCGATTTGGTTCTGTGAATCTGTTAGGCGTGGTAAGTATTGTTACTTACGTAAATATTTTGGTGAAAGGCGAGAAAGAAGACAGACCTCTCTTTCTTTTCATCTGCCCAACTTTCCATAGTTTCTTCTTCAAGTTAACCCTAGTTTAACTTCAATTTCTTTTTATAGACTGCTATGATTTCTCTTACCATTTCAGGATAAAAATGGCATTTCGCCGGAAGATGTGCGTATTTCAAGAGTTATTGTTCACGATAAATATCATGCTCCTAAAACATACTATGACATAGCTCTGATAGAACTAATAAACCATGTAAGCTTCACTCGAAGTATCCATCCTGCATGTCTGTGGACTAAGGATAATGAATTATCTGGGAAAGGTATAGTCGCGGGTTGGGGGGTAGTTGATACCGGTAAGTTCATCACCATAGAGAACACTTTTTTTTCTTTATTTTTTTGAGGACTTGTCCTTGAACATGTCAATCCCGTAATAAATTTACTATCATTGTTAAAGAGAAGCATTGTATTCCCACTATTTTCTTATAAAAAAGAGATCAGAAGGGTATTTGAATTTGGCAGAGGAGGGGACTCATTGGAAGTGGAAATAGCCTATTTCGGTGCGTCTCTTCCTCCGTATAAAAAGGTCCACATCGCATCTGCAAATGCAGATATCTCTGCAAAGCGGTCACTTCGCTATTTTGGAAAATGTATGCGGCGCTTTGTTCGTTTGCTACCATTTGCTATAAAAAAAAATTCCAGCGAGTCGTCGAACATCGTCCATATTACAAGTAGCCGTAATGGATATGGTGCCATCAGAGAAATGTAATAATACATTGAAAAGCAAACGCAACAGACATTGGAGGCATGGCCTTGCTTCCCATCAGATATGCGCCGGCCACATGCCAGGTGGAATTGATGCTTGTCAGGTATGTGAAGATAACGTATGAAAATCATCCTATATATTTCGTTCTTGTATAGGGGATGTGCTACAAAGTATGCCAGGTTTGTGTTGTAAAGTTGCTTATATTTATATACAGCACCGGATTATTTCACCTTGAATCTTCTATATTCTTTGTTCCATTGTAGATTTAAGTACATGTTTACTAATACATTGTTTATACTAATACATTGTATTATTTTTGTGTAATAAAATAAAACAAATCTTTACAGGGTGATTCTGGAGGTCCATTGCACATTAAGCTTCTAATGCCGATAAATGTACATTTTGAGTGGCGTATGCATTACGTAGTGGGCGTGACGTCATTTGGTTATGGCTGTGCGCTGGCCAACACTCCTAGCGTTTTCTCAAAAGTATCTCATTTTATTGATTGGATTGAAAATATTGTTTGGGAAAAAGATGTGAATGCAACATTGAAAGCAACAAGCAAAAGTAAATGAAGAAATAGCAGCAATAAAAAGACTTTTATCAACCTATTTTATGTTTTACTAGCTGTAGCCTACGACTCCGTCCCGCGCGGTATGTTCAAAAATGGCTTCAGTAGTCTATATGTTCTTCTAGATTATGTTTTACATATAAGCCTAATTTCAGCGAGAGCTATACCTATAGAGTAGTTTTGGATATACCTTAAAACAAAAATCCATCTATCCATCTATCAAACAATCGCACATATAATATCATTAAGATTTGACACTCAAGAAATGACATATATTCATCATCATCAGCTCAGTATACCTCCCCACCGAAGGGCTTGGAGCCTACAATAAGTTAGGGGTGACATATATTAACGTTTTATAATTGACTTAGTTTAATTGTTCTTTTCGTACTCTTTAAAAATAAAAAAAAACATATATAGTATATAAATACAGCTATTAAAAATTATGATACGTAAACTTTACCAAGAAGTAGACCATTTACTTATTTTCCCGCAAGTTCATTGATATTAGTATGTAACAAAGTGCTATTTAAACATTTCAACAAAGTATCCGACCCATGTCACTCTTTCTCGTAGGATTTGGTTTACCCAAATCCTTTCTTTGCGAATGTTAAAAACTCAACGTTAGATACAAAAATAACTATTTATTTTTAGAATATCACTCCTATTATTAAATATATGTGAAAATAAATAGTGTCTAAAACTTTATTTCTTTGGAGTAAATCTTATATCTTTAAATGAGCAATTCTTATATATATAATTGGAATCTCGGAATCGGTTCCAACGATTTTCATATGATTTAGTATATAGGGGGTTTCGGGGGCGATAAATCGATCTAGCTAGGAATCATTTTTAGAAAATGTCATTTTATTCGTGTTTTATCGATAATCAACTTAAACATAAACTTAACTTTTTCTATCGGTAAAATCGAAAAATATTATTCATATTTCATCATTTTATTAGAAATTCGTACTTAAATATAATATCCAAAAAACACAATTAAAGGTCATCCAGGTAGTGGGAGAAGAGAGAAGTAGGAGTTCCATCTCATGTCACGATGCAGAAAACACTACGTTAAAAGATTAAAGTGAGAAAAATTTATAGCAAATGATTTGTATCAAATTGGAATTCAATGTAAGGAAAGTTTAAATCAAAGTTTCGACTTTCATTGTTAGGAACATTTCCAGTAATCCAATTAAATGTTTGAATCTTCTAAGAAATCTTTTATAAAGTGATATTAATTCAATTATTCCCATCTTGAAATTTCAAGCTTCCCTGTTCATTGGAAAGAATTTGAAAAGATGTTTTTAATATTTGTTTATACAAGATCTTCTCTTAGGATGGAGTGTAAGCTCTTTAACAATTTCCCACACATTTATCCCACCCACATGGGGTAGGCGAACCAGGTTTTATAAATCACTAGCCGTCGCCCACGGCTCCGTCCGCGCTTAATAAAAAGAACATAATTAGTGTTCTTCCAGACTATGTTCTACATCTATGCCAAGTTCCAGCGCGATCCATTCAGAAAAATAAAAATTAAATGAATATTTTTTAAATAAATTAAAAAAAGCGAATATAAATAAAAAATATTTCTCAAATAGAACATCAATGAATTGCAATAAACATTAATAAAACAAAATTTTAAATCTGCATAAAAACATAAAGAGGAGAGATTTGTATTTTTATATCATCATCATCATCAGCTCACTATACGTCCCCACCGAGGGGCTCGGAGCCTACTCTAAGTTAAGGGTAATTAGGCCATAGTCACGTTGGCCAAGTGCGTGTTGGTTGAGTATTTTTTTTTTGTATATGTTAGGAACAAAGTTAAAAATTAGTGGTTAGATTTCAAAATATGAAAGCCATTAGGAAGCTATATTCACCGAGTATTTATCACATTTTTTTTTATCAATTTTGCGTGGAGAAACAAATAATAAAGAACGACTTCAGCATAATATTGTCGATTCAATTTACGCCTTACAATTTTCAGATACTTTTGTAATTTTAGACATCCTTCGTTCTCCGAATTTCATATCATGAAAGTCAACCAACCGAATAATGAAATTCGAATTGTGAAGCATTTATCTTCAATTTAGTAGTAATGTAATTTTTGTGTTTTCAATGAAATTATATTCTGTAAAATGTAATATTCAAATAATATTACGTTAAATTGAATCCATTTGGCCGAATTGAAAATTATTTTCAATTCTGATTAATTGTTTATCAATAAATAAAAAGCTAAAAACCTTTTTAATAAATAAATACAATTAAATAACTAATTTCATTCAGCTTTAACTGTGTGCTAGTTATCCTTGGTTTCTGAGACCAACATCTCTGTATGAAACATATCATCCCTGTCATTATGTTTGACAAATCAGAGATAACTATTCAACTTTCAAAACATAGTAAACCAGATATCAGACAACGATTAAAGTTCAAAAACAGACTATTTTTTAAACATGTTCTTGAGTCTGACTAATGAAAAATAAAGTACTCAGATTCCAAAAGAGTTTAAAAAAAATAATATTTCATTCATCACTTATAAAGATATTAATTAATGGAAGGCAAAAGATTTAAAGATAATTGGAATTCTAATTAATATTGGAAGAGCGAGTGCCATTCACGAAAACCTGGCAATTATTTGATAATTGACAAAGTGACTGTATTATTCAGAAATGGGTCTGATGTTTTCAAATCCATTCAAATTTAATTCAATTTGAACACTTAACATACCATAAAATATTGAATTTCATCTCTTTTACCAATATTTATTATTATTTTACTAGCCGACTTCAAACAGAGAGATGGTATCAATATGTTTAGATTTTTCTTAACTCAAATATTAAACTTTACATAGCAAATGGTTCGAAATATAAAGCAAGTATGAAAAATGCAAAAAACAAATTACTTAAAAGATCGAGGTAAACACTTTTTACTGCAGTTTTGTGATTTTTATTCGTCGTTTTATGCGATGTTTTCACAGTCGGAATTGAACCATTTTATGTTTACTTATGAGATATTCTACAAATAAATTAAAGAACATAAAACTGTTTTTGTTATTTGTAAGGAAATATCGCAAACGAAAGCAATAAAAGTAGGAAAAGTCGTTATAACTTCTAAAATAAAGTGTAGTACATTCTGTCTGGTTTTAAGATACAGTCGCCGTTCAATTTAGTTTTTAATTTGAAATCTAATAAATTATTAAAGACGAATATTACATAAAGAAATTTGAAATTTAATACAAAAATTGTTTTTGCAGTTTTTTTCGTGAAATTTATTTTGTATATAAGTTGTTTGTTAAACTTTTAACAATTTTAGCCTAAATTTAAAAATGCCTCCCAAACGGAAGGAAGAGCCATAATCAAGAAACTGAACTGAACTGAATAAATGCCTCTCTGTGAAAGTAATTTCACAGTTAACTGATAGTAAAAGATTAATATCTTTATTGAAACACTAGCGATCCGTCCCTGCTTCGCACGGGTGGATATTTATATTTTAAATATTTTGAAACATATTAAAATAAAATAGCAATTGCTACACAGTTAGAAAATAATTGTTGAAATCAGACCAATAGGTTTTGAGTTTATAAATACCTAATTACTAGTAAATAATGAAGTAGCATAACCTGCAAAAATACATTTTTTTACACTATTAGTATAGATTAAAAAATATTGAACGTAAATTATCTACAACCTTGTCCTTTGCAAACTAGTGCTTTATAATTTTATGGACTTTATAAAATTATAGGTTAAGGATAATTAATTTCTATAGCTAATGTGGCAATTTTATAGACCATTGATTTCAACTAAACGAGGCAATTTGTACCTGTATTTGTACTTGTGAGAAACTGATTTGAACCGCATTATCCGTAAAGTAAAACGAAAATAGTATCTATAAAGTTCTCCTTTTTGCTTTCGTAATAAATTTGAAGATAACTTTATAAAGTTGGTACTCGTATAAATGTAACTGGTCTATTTTGGCCTCTCAGAAAATGGTCAAATGGTAAGTTATATTTTAATAAATTTGACTATTTTTAATTAGCCGTCGCCCGTGACGCTGTCTGCTCAGACTTTAAAAAATTTCCAGCTTGATTCCTTCACGCGTTTTTGAGAAAAACGGTCTTGACAGACAGACGGATCCTATAATGGTTCCGTTCTTTCCCTTTCGAAGTGTAGCCTATGTGTTCATTGCGAATGTTCTACATCAGTGCCAAATTTCATCAAGATCCGATGCTTCTAACAAAAATTCGTCCATCCATCCAAACTTTAACATTTATAATATTAGTAAGATAGAAACGAGAAATTACATCACTTCGAATCGCTTTTAAAAACTTAACAGTGCATACATAATATCGTTCTATTCTAATCGTTTATTAACCAAACAGCTATAAATACTTTTTCCACGATAATTCCTAAACTATTGGTTTCCCATCAATCGCTTAAAATAAGTTATTTAGTATTGTAACAAAAATGATTTTAAATCTAATTTTGAAATCTTTAAAAAAATTTGAAGATCCCAATCATCCGTTTTTGGGACCTAATATTTATGGTCTTCAAACATTTGGATTGTTACACAATCGTAATAAATATACAAGATTGTTTTTCAAAGCTTTTCATTTATGTTCTTTCATTTTTGTTATAAGTCAAATAATAGATATTTACTTTATGAGAAACGATTTCAATAAAGTACTATTAAATATTTCTATAACAGCTTTAAGTTTTATAGCCATATGTAAAACTATATCTTGTCTTCTTTTACAATCACGTTTACAAAAAGTAATCAATGCTATCAAAGATGAAGAAGATATACTTTATTTAAATGATAAATTTGAGATAAAACGTATGAAGAATTACAAAAATTATGCACGACTTATAACATATTTGTATTGGCTAGTTATCTTCATAACTAGTGTTGTAACGATTATCGCACCATTTTTAAAATATGCGTCGTCTTCATCTTATAGAGAGGAAATAAAAAACGGCACTGAACCATATCCACAAATAATAAGTTCATGGTTTCCTTTCGATAATAATAAAATGCCGGGATATTTTTTCGCAACACTAATTCATACGATCATGACAATCCAAGGAGCTGGTGTTGTCGCGGTGTACGATGCGAATGCGGTATCAATAATGACATTTCTAAAAGGACAGTTTATAATTTTACAAGAAAAATGTCGTCGAATTTTTGGAGCTGAGGATGTAAATTTAACAAAATCAGAAATTTACATTAGAATTAAAGAGTGTCATAGACGTCACAATTTTCTGCTGGGGTAAGTGCTTTATCTTTACAAGGATAGAGTGATAGTACGTTTAACCCTTATTGTGGCAAGATTTCTTTTTTGAATAAAAGAAAAAAAAGGTATAAAAACTTAGGTAAAAAATATTTTATAGTGATCGTATATTTTTATAAAGTTGTATGTATGGTATATTTATACAAAATGAACATAAGGGTTAAAGTAGACGTGAGCTTGTTACGTCTAAAGCATGAAAATTAAAAGTTGCCTAGTAATGCAAAACGATAATTCAATTTTATTGTCGTAATACAAATTTATACTACAAACGATAGCAGAACAGACAAATAGAATTATTTGTCTTAGGTTAAGGAGCATATACACTATTTTTTAAATTAATTAACGTAACAGAACTAAATGTTAAGTGACAATGTGTTCAAAATGGTAGGGGTAAGGCTACTTTACTAAACGTATCTACGTAAATTACTGACTACTTGGAGACTACAGGATTTTATAGATCAAGCTATATTCAACAAGCTGGATAGAAAACATCATAATTCTATTATTTTTATTCTTTTTTCAGATTGTATTCAACATTTAATTCAATGATATCGCCAGTTATGCATTTATATGTCCTTGTCTGTTCTATAAACATTTGCTGCAGCGTGATACAATTAAATTTGGTAAGACATTTTGTTATTTTACGATTTGATATTTTATGACTTCTTATTTTACTTTGCATGTCTTGTACATATAGTCATCGTATTTCATCCTTTAATTGTTTAATTTCAGTCATTTTTTTTGTATTCCAGGACAATGTGGCAACATCACAAAAAATATGGGTATTCGAATATGTTTCTGCACTGTCCATACAACTATTTTTATTGTGTTGGCATAGTAATGAAATAAAGGTGGAGGTAAACACGAATCTTAAAATAAAAATATCATATTTCAAAATCATTGTGAATTAGCGGTAAAGTGGATAAAAATACAGAACATATAATTGGCTACAGTTCAGAGAATTATTCAAACTTTCTTGAGACATTATACTAAACTGATATAAAAACTTAACTTTAACTAGGCTTAACACTTACGTATTTTCGTCCGGTGGCGGCACCGATTAGTTTCGAGCCCATCGGGGGCCCTTCATCAGGGCGAGTGGGACTGGTATTATTACGCGGACGCAGCCCATCGCTGAATGAGCCATTTTTTTATTTAAGTTTACTAGCATAATCTATTGTTTTGTTTTAAATATACCAAAAAAATATATTGTAGGATTTATAACCAAATAACTTCTACAACACAGGAGTAAACGAAAAGTTTTTCCTTTTCCGCATAAGAAGGAGGAACTTTGCTAATTTCCCGTGTTATGATAATCATTAAATCTGTCAATGTCTTATTAGAACGATACTGTTTTTTTTTTAATTTATCTAATTTCCTTGAATAATCAGGATACCAGAGACAAGAACATCCCTGTAGCTTTATATGCAACCAGGCGTACAGCGGAACAATCCGTTTCGTCTGATGAGTGTGCGTCCAGGAGGCCTAATTTTAGTCATCTTTCCCATCCCACCCTTTTTCTTATAAGGATAGGATTGGAAGTGGAAGTGGACTTTCCGGATGAGGGGATGCATGGAAAGGGAAAATATTTTCTTTCTGTGCATCCTCTCCTCCGTCGATTAAAGGGAGACAACGCATATGCAATTGCGTATGTCTATGGGCAAAGGTCGATTCGCTATTTCAGGTGGCCGCTCGTTCGTTTGCCACCTTTTGATATAAAAAACATCTTCTAAGTCGTTCAAAATAATATAATAATTGTCTTCATGTATATGATTGTGTTACAGAGTGATCGAGCAGACCGTGGTGTATACGAAAGCAATTGGTGGAAGGCTGACCCGAGCGAACGTAAGCAGCTCCTACTGTTGGCAGGGAAATTGGCCCCACCGTATATAATGAAAGCGGGTCCGTTCACTGATCTCTCCATTCCTACATTCATTGATGTTAGTAGCTCATATTTTATCAATAGATGTATTGGAACGTATTAAATTTGTGGTTTCAGTTAGCATATATTAGTTTGATATACTAACCATAATGTATCGCTTCGAGATTAAAATGATTTTCGGTGTAATCGAATTAAAATGATTACTATTAAATTAATAAAAATCCAAGGAACCCCAACTCAGTAATGGAAGAATAAGATACTTCATAATGCATACTTTTTTATATTAAAAGGAGGCAAACGAGTTCTTAGGGTCCTTTAAGAAGCTAGCGTATCACCATCTCAAAGGCCGGCAACGCATCTGCGGTTCTTCTGGTATTGCTGATTTCCATGGGCGTCGTTGAACACCTCGGTGTTCCCGCTCGTCATTTGCCCCTTCGGATATTAAAAAAAGGAAACGAGCAAGCGGTCACTTGAATTCGCCAAAATAGTGAAGCGCGCGCTGTCCGTAGAAATCCATACTATACTCCCGTTTCACGGACATTTAATAAAGCTTATATTTCGTATGTGGTTATACTCACACGAAATGTTTTCTTTCCAGATAATGAAAGGGACATACAGTTTTTACACCCTGTTTACACATATCCAAGAGAAACGAGAATAATGTAAAAATCGTAGTTAAAAATACACAAACTTTACAATCACAGAGACGTAGTTTGGTCTTTTATATAAAAATGTTTATTTCTCATGTTTTTTTGGATCCACTTAAAAAAATCACGACTTGGTAATATATTTCTATATTTTATATTTATTAAAACACATTTCTTTTGCCACAAACAAAGGTAATAAAAGCTACAAAACTTGAGTTTCATTTTTATTTTTTTCGCGTATTTTCTCCAGTTCTTATTTTAACCAACGCCTCCGGGAAATGATAACCTTACTTTCTTCAAAGGAACACAAAGTAATTCATCTTCTGGAGGAATGATTACTAACCGTAGGGATTACATCGAATATCCATTTTAACATTTCCCTGCGACATAATGCCATTTTTATTAATAAACTAGCGATGTCCCGCGTCTCCGTCCGTGGGGAATTAAAAAAAACCTAATAAGTAACCCTTGGGTTCTTCCAGACTATATTAAATATCTGTGTCAAATCTCTCCCGTTCTCCTGTGTCGAATCTGTGCCGTTCTGGAGATACGTTCTAACAAATATACATTAATCTAAACATTTGCATTTATAATATTAGTAAGAAGTAAAATAGAACGATTGGTTACCTCAATTTAAAGGCGATTTTATAGATTAATTGCAAGGATATTTATTTTATATTACTTTCAAATTTTATTGTGCTATAGTTGTGTGCTTTACAAAATTATTCTCTACACACAATTACTTTTAACAAACATAAAAAGTCTGCAAGCAACCTAATAATCATGAATAGTATTCATGAGTAAATCCATTTAAGCCTTAAATTAAAATATAATATTTTTTAAAATTAAAATTACTAGCAGATTTTTTTGTAAATTTACTAATATTTCTTTTACCATTCCAACTAAGCTCTAGGCTACTGCTAGGATATGGTTTACGAAAATAGTCGAATGGCGGAATTCGAACCGCCGACTTCGTGATCGGAAATCTGCACCCTTAACCATTAGGCTATTGACGCTTCAAATATAATTGTTAATAACATTCAGTTTATTAAGTTACTTTCGTTTTATATTTAGTTGCTTCTTTACCTGTTAAATACCTTTATTAAAAGGGAGACATAAAGTATACTTAATTTATCGTTGGCAGTAAATTGAGTTCCTAAGAATAACTTTACGAACAGCAATAATTTAGGGTAACATCTGTACGGTATACTTCTATAATTTATATTTACTGTGGTAATATCTTATGTCTTTCCTTCTAATTAATAAAATTACAAAATTACTTCTATTACAAATTATCGTAATTTTTCAGGTTTAAATTTGACAAAATTTCTAATACCACAAGAACTCTGATGCCGGGTGTAAATTCTTTATACATTATGACTATTGATAATGCGTAGGCTTTTTAAAAATAAATAACAAAATACTAATACCAGAAGCTGTACTGGTGATACATATTCTTTATGACGTGTGCAGAATATCAATCTCAGCAGTCAAAGGGTTAAAGGGTGCGTCGGTGGCTCAGGGTCAAGCGCTTGAATTGCAATCTGCAGGTCAACTTCAAATCCCGTCATGTACCAATGTGTTTTTTCGATTTCCAATTTACATATGTACATTTATCCGACGTTCTTACGGTGAAGGAAAACATCGTGATGCAAGCGTGGTTGACTATGGCCTAATCACCCTTAACTTAGGGCAGGCTCCGAGCTGATGATGAGAGTTTAACTGTACTTTTTGAAGTGTGACAGTTAATTTTCTCGCTTACTTAAAAGAGTGTAATAGCTGTATGATCCTTTTAAAACCTGAAACGAAAAAAAAAACTTCATAATTTACTTACAATGATTTTGTACAGACTTCTATAATTAAATTATTAAGCAAAGAGAAAATAAACAGATTGTTATCCATATCTCACAATAAGAAAAATCTACAAAACAAAATACTTACAGCAACAAAAGTAGGAACTGATAGAGAAGTAAAGGGGCCAGCAGTAAAAATAATATTCCTCCGAACTTTGCCCATGAGAAGTAAGACGTTTCGTTTTACGCAAGTATTTTGAGACCACCAAGCGCTAGCGTACACGCCTTCATCGACTTTTAAACTCTACAAAATGTATTGGGAAAATATCAAGTATATATTAGAACACAATAAGAGAGAGAAAAATAGAATTTTTAGCATACTATTATCTGAACATAAAATAAATAAACGTGGTTACCGATTTTATTACAAAATTGTTTTTCTCAACTCTCAAATTTATACACGTGTCTTTTGCCTTTATAAGGCTAGCTAAAAATCATAAAGATTTAATGCTAATACTATCATCGATATGTTAGCTTACGAACTTTTCAACCGATCACCACATTCACCGCATACCACTTGTAATATCCAATACATACCACTTGTAATATTCAATACATACCACTTGTAATATTCAATACATACCACTTGTAATATTCAATACATACCACTTGTAACATTCAATACATACCACTTGTAATATTCAATACATACCACTTTTACTATTCGCAACATACTACTTGTAATATTCAATACATACCACTTGTACTATTCGCTAAATACCACTTGTAATATTCACTACATACCACTTGTAATATTCAATGTATACCACTTGTACTATTTGTTACATACTTAGTAACCTCATGGACAAAATTTGTTAAAATTAATATGACATATGTCGGTGTACTTTAAAAGCCCTGTAGGTGTGCTGCTGCACAAATTTTAACATAATTTATTTTAAATAAAATGACGAAAACATTCTAACAAATATTTGACGAGTATTATATTGAAGATTTTTATGATACCCGCCATTTTAATTTATGATTTGTCGAATAGCTCAACAAATGAGACTTACCATTAGTGACACTTCATTACTGTGCCAACAATAGATAAACAGTTGCGCAATTAAAGCCAACAAATATTCTGTTATACGAATTTGTTGCATTCTTGATATACCACTCTGAAAATGTACTTTTATTAAATGTTACATAATCCAGTTATTAGAATCTCTTGATAGAAACAAAATTAGACTTTACACTTCACTTCTTGTTTTAATAAGGATTTAGTAGAAAATATTATTATCAAATAAATATTACATTAGGATATTAAATATTATTTTTGTAATTTATATTTTTTATAATCTTTGGATGTGTCTAGCGCCATTAACAAAACTTACTCTTTGCTCTCGCTTCGGTAAAATGTCATTATATAAGCATGTACTAGAATTAATTAAGTAATAATAAATTATTGAAAAAAACTTCTTTTCTATTCATTTCAACAGTTATTAAGTAAGTACTTACCGTAGTTAATTGAACGGCACTGGCACAAATCATAAGTGAACAGATGATCACATACAGAAACATTACAGGTGATAGTAAAGAATTAAGGATCTTGGAATATCTAAAATAATAGGATTTATTTTATATTTTAATACCATTTTTATTTATGAGGGTTTCATCCATTTTATTTGAAATAAATAAATTTGATGTCCAATTAAGTTAAAAAAAGTACGATACTTAAAAATACTGGAATTAACTTTGAAATTTCAACGACGTCGATACTTTATTACTTGTTTTCCATGTTTTGCGATCTTATTTATATGACAGTCAGATAATACTTATAGCTCTGCGTTTCGTCTGATGAGTGTGCGTCCCGGAGGCCTAATTTAGTCCTCTTTCCCTTCCCACCTTTTCTTATAAGGAAAGGATGGGAAGTGGAAGTGGACTTTCCGGATGAGAGGATGCATGGGAAGGGAAAATATTTTCTTTCCGTGCATCCTCTCCTCCGTCGATTAAAGGAAAGCAACGCATATGCAATTGCGTATGTCTATGGGCAACGGTCACTTCACTATCAGCGATTTCAGGTGGAAGCTCGCTCGTTTGCGACCTTATGATATAAAAAAAGCTAAAGAACCATTTTACATCCTCTGCACTTATAATGTTTAAGAAATCCACAACACATTTTTTTTATATTTTACGCATGATTCATCATCATAACATTCAGCCTGAATTCGTCCATTGCTGTACCCAGGCCTTCCCTATCGATTGCCACAATACCCGGACCTGTGCTGCCCGCATCCAGTGCACTTCCGCGACCTTGACCAGGTCATCGGTCCATCTTATGCATAATTTATCATGTATAAATTGTATGAAATAATGAACCAAATTTTACTTACTTGACCAGGCTTGAATGTTGTTTATGCAAGTTACGTATTTTATTTATATATTCATGAGAATTAATACCACTATTTTCTTCAAATGCTCTCTCACAGTTTAATTTCAATAACTTAAGTTGTCCAAAGAAAAAGGACATAAGAACAACAGCATTTGAATCGTAATTAGCAACAATACCACCTCCATAGAAACATATAATTGTTTGTTCTAAAATCATTGCTAAATATCCAATTCCATGCGTTTTATCAAAGGGTAACCATGAACTCATTATTTCAGGATAAACTTTGGTACAATTATTCGTTGTTTCATCAGTAGGTGAAGATATAAAACTAGCCAATGGAGCTAAGATAACACCAAAAACAGTCGCAGTTACCAAACACCAATAAATATAAGTTATTTTTCTTGAATATTCAATGTACTCTTTTATTGTTCTACAAGTGATTGCCTCATTTTTATTTATTTCATTCTTTTCTAAAGTAGAAACATAATCGAAGATACATTTCCAATGTTTCTGCCAAAGAACGAAAGTTCCAGCTTTGACAACGCAAACGGAACTAAGCATGGTCACTGATAAATTTCTTAACGCTGATTCCAAATCTGATCTTATAATCCACAATTCTACGTACTGACTTAATACAAACATAATAGCAGAAATATGAACAAGATTATAGATAAAACTACTAACTCCTCGTTTCGGTTGCCACATACCCCAAAGTTTTAAACCATAAAGTGTAGGGCCAAGAGAAGGATGGTCATCATCTTCTAGATTTTTCAATATCTTGTTACCCATATTTATAAGAATGTTAGTTGTCGTCCGTCTTTTATGAAGTTTCATTTATAAAGAAATATAAAGTATCCTTCCTTCCGACTAAAACATTGAACTAATGAATAGACCCGGTTTTTATTACGATTTATTTCAATATTGTTTAAAATTGTAGTACTTGCAAAAGTAAGTAGACGTGGACGAAATTGTTGTATCATATTTTCTTCACCACAATTTTAATAGCACTTATCGACCAATATCTCTGTATAACAATATGTTTTAAACGTAGATTTTGGTCTTAGAAACTCACGATTAGAATCGCAAGATAAAAAATTAGGTATTGTAGGAATTAGAAATAAAATAATTTTGTATAAAATTAAATTGTGGTAAAAATTTAACTATATATTAGGTGCGTAACTAAGTTCTCGCTGTTTGTCAGTAGATGGCTCTAGCAGTAAGAGCTGGTCGATTTTGACATATCCAAAACGTCATGAACCAAGCTTAGACATATGGTAAACAAACCGTTGCGACACATGAGTGATTTTGTTTTCGCATTATATACTTCTGGTCAAGTAAAAATGTCGAATTTCGTGCCAAACAATCGTCATTTGTAATATAAAAACAATTTTGTGACAGACTGAAATGTAAACATATTTTATAAACATAGGTGTGACATGGGCGGACAGTTGTTTGAGTTGTATTGTGTAATAACATGTCTGTCACATAATATGAGGCGTTTCGCTTTATTTCAAAACTGAAATTATTCGTTCGAAATTGCAGGTTACATTGACATCTTATTGGATACCAAGGAATGATTTTTTCTATACATTTTACTTTTATACTGTGACTTCAACAACTTGATATTTTAAAAGAAGTAAAACAATCAGGCTCATTTTTAAATAAGTATTTTAATGGCTTATTTTATATTTATTACATTTATATAAGAAAAGATTTTAAAGAAGATTGGCAGCCTTAACATTTTTTATTTATTTGGATGTTTAAATTTTAGTAATTGTTGTATATCAATAAGAAATAAATTTGAATGGACGCCATCTAAAAATAAATGAGTACCTTCACAAGAACCCTTTCAGGAAAACTTAGTTTGTATGTTCAGTGAGCAAGTGTCACGTAAGTTAACCGTCAGGTGTCGCATTGTAAAACAAATGTGGACAGATAGATGGCGCTGTACATATAATACTTGTAACTGTACATATGTACACAAGTTTAATAAAAACGCAATAGGAATGTATGTGTGTTCATTCAATCCATTGTGATCTCAACTAGTCAAGACTTTGCCAAACAATTAGGTGTAAATTCTCTAAGTATTCTTCTCCGGAGCGTTTATATAATTGATATATAGGAATTGACTTACTCTAAGCTTATAGTACATAAGATTATATAAAACATATTCAGTTTTATACATAGTACATATATGTTTTGTATTCGTTCTACATAAATAATACAAATAAAATTATCTTCGTTGAAAACATACCTTCACAACTTTTGGCGTTGTGCGATATTTAGCATTATTTTACATGCCAGTTTCATTGCGTACCATTGAACAAGTTTATCAGATTTAAAGTTAAATTTATTGCATTTGGAAAACCAACGAAAAGTGGATTTCATTTTGGTAGTTGTTGACAAAAGAACAATGGGATTTAATAATAAATTTGGGAAATAAATTTAAAATTTATCTTGTTAAAAACAATGAGACCCGAATAGCCATTTTTATAAATAACTGATAACAGTTCCCGTCTTTAATGTTTTATTTCTTATTAATTTCGTAGAGTAAGAGAATCATGTATTAGTGATTACTATATAATTTCAACGCATATCACTTAAAGGTTGAGACGTAGAAATTCATTTAAAATAGTTCGCTCATAATAAGATAATGTTCTTTAAATTTTACGTCTTTGTATCCTGTTGCCGACAGATACGGAACCTTTTTACACGTTTTTTAATCATAATTTTTATATTTTCGTATTTGGAACATACATTTTTTCTTCCTTTTTTGTCTCTATTTAAAAGAAGTTGTAAATATATAATATCTTGTAACAGAGCGTACTGATCTTTTCATTTCGTCTTTTAATTTTATTATATAAATTCCAAAATTTATCTTAATTCAACCACTCTTTCCATCATCATATTTTCCGTCGTCTTTAGTATCTTATCATCTTAAATGTTGTCAGATGTACTTGTAACGAAATGATTCACCATTACTAAGCTATATTAATAGCAATTTTCCATGTCAACTATACGTAAAATTATTTCTCATCATCATCATTTTAGACAACAACTAGCTGTCGCCCGCGACTCCGTCCGCGCGGGATTAAAAATAGATGTTGGCCGATTCTCAGGCCTACTCAATATGCTCACAAAATTTCATGAGAATCTGTCAAGCCGTTTCGGAGAGGTATGGCAACGAAAATTGTGACACGAGAATTTTATATAGAAGATAATCTCAGTTTATTTGGAGAGAGATGTTTTATAAGGATTTGACATTGCAAAGTCAAGGTTAGAGTACACAAAATGCATGTAAAGTATTACAAACAATTATTACGCTTTCACATTAAAAATGAATTCCCTTTTATCTTGACGTTGAATAAAAAGGTAACTTTCCACTTTATAGGTCTTTTAAATCATTCAGAATATAATATGTTAGCTTAAGGTTATCCACTTAGTCGACAAAGGCTTGTATGTAGCCTGCATTTATGTCGCTTGACGTATATTGATGATAATGTATGCATGTATGCCAGGAATATAAAAAAATAAAGAAGGCATTTTAAAAAAAAAATTGTAACATTAAAATATCTAGTAAAAGGGAAACTACATAAATATTTTATAGTTTAGTAGCAACTAAGTATTGTTAAATTTATTGTTGATAAAATCGAAATCATCATCATCAATCAATCACAATACAAAACACAAAATCACATCGAACAATGTTACCTTAATCACCAAAGAATGATAAGTAATTAACGTAATAACATCGGTCAATCAAATGAATTGATACAAACTCATAGCCCAGTAATAGACGGAAAGAAGGAAATTTTTTAGCATGAAGAATAATAGAAAAAATGCCGTATCCATAAAACCCGACATTTTCGTAAGCTTAGAACTGAAAATAATCAAACGCTACAGAGGAAGGAACACCGGAAATGGGCACATGCCTCACTAACTCGATACAAGCCGCTGGTGCATGCACTGACTCGACATACAACTTACGTCTTTGTTATACAAGTAATCAAGTACGTAACAAATTATGTATAACTTACTAATTAGCCATCTTACTCATAATATTAAAAATGTGAATAATTGGATAGATGTCTGCTAGAAAGTGTATATGCAGAATGGCTTTACGCACCTCTGAGATATTTGACATAGTAACTGGAAGAACACATAGTTCACCTACTATCTAGTTTAGTAAAACTACGGACGACAGCTACTACTATATAAAGAAATATTAAGAGACATCTTTTTCAAGACATAATTCTTATAGCTTTTTTATGTTATTAATAACTTAAAAAAAAACTTTATGTTCCTATTAATATTTATTAGTACATGAAAATTTAAACATGAACAGGTAGGTCTTAGTGGAAATAGATGGATAAAGTGCAGTATGACATGACAAGAATTGAGTGACTACAGTCGATGATGTTACGAAATTCTGTCAAATTGTTTCCTGCACGAGCTTCTGATTTATCGATTGATATTGTTTTGCAGTCAGTACTATTGAAAACTTAAGAATGGTGCTGACATTGTACAAACTCGATGCAAGCCCACCAGTTCGTTCAGTTCTGATGGTAATCGAGGCTGCGAACATAACCGATGTACAGTACGTAAATATCAACGTTCTTAAGGGCGATCATCTGACTAACGAATATCTAAAGGTATTAGTAGAAGAAAACAACTATAGTTATTCAAATGATCATGGTCGTAACCAAACTGAATTGTAAAATATACAACAGAAGTACCGATAACAAAAAAGGACAATTTTGATCTGTTTAATTTATTTGCAGATGAATCCACAACACACTATACCAATGTTAAAAGATGGTGACTTTACTGTTTGGGACAGGTTTGTTACGACTGCTAATGTAATTTCTAAAAATTGTATTATGTTAAACTGATATAAAAACGGCTAAACACTCACGTATATTCGTCCGGTGGCAGCACCGACTAGTTTCGAGCCCGTCGGGGGCTCAAGAGCGCAGGATCGCAGTGAGCGACGGGCCGCGTGCGCTAAATAATACCAATACCACTCATCCTGATGAAGGGCCCCCGATGGGCTCGAAACTAGTCGGTGCCGCCACCGGACGAATATAAGTGAGAGTTTAGCCGTTTTTATATCAGTTTAGTATAATGACTCACGAAAGTTTGAATAATTTAATTGTATTATTTGTTTCCATTGCTTGTAAAAGTGTTCTTTTATGTGGTGGTACATTATCTCTTTAGAGCGTAATATCACATATTCTTTCAGTCACGCAATTTCTGTGTACTTATTGACAAAGTACACTGATGACGATATTCTTTACCCAATTGAGCATAAAAAGAGAGCGTTGATTGATCAAAGGCTACATTTTGATAGTGGAGTACTTTTTGTAGCTTTGCGTGCCGCTGTCGTGAGTATTTATGTTACAATGTTTTCAACATATTTTGCTTACTTTTACAAAAAACAAAAAATATTTTATAAAATAAATACGATAAAACCTTATTGACAAATTATTTTTTGTGAATAAATCAAAGATTCAATTGAATAAATTATAATAGGAACAGCTCATATAAGAAACATATTTCCTAAAAACAATTTTTAATGGCAGCTTTCTTTTTTCACAAGAACAACATAATAAATGTAGTACCCAAAGGGAATGGCAAGAATAATTTAAATAAATTCCAACTTGATACCTTCACGCATTTGTTACAAAAAGGGTCTTGACAGACAGACAGACAGACAGACAGACGCACAACAAAGTGATCCTATAAGGGCTCCGTTTTTTTCCTACGAGGTATGGAACCCTAAAAAGTTCAAAAAAGGAATTAAAATTCTTTAAAACTACCCACCCCATGTATATCTAACAAAATAACTGTCGAACTCCAGGATATGTAATGGTTAGTTAAAGAGTCTTTTAGAAATGATTCATCATCATCAGCTCACTATACGTCCCCACCGAGGGGCTCGGAGCCTACCCTAAGTTAAGGGTGATTAGGCCATAGTCAACCACGCTGGCCATGTGCGGGTTGGTTGACTTCACACATATCTTTGAATTTCTTCTCAGATATGTGCAGGTTGCATCACGATGTTTTCTTTCACCGTAAGAACGTCGGATAAATGTACATATGTAAATCGGAAATCGAAAAACACATTGGTGCATGGCGGGATTCGAACCCAGGACCTGCAGATTGCAAGTCAAGTGCTTGACCACTGCGCCACCGATATTAGAAATGATTACTTCCACTTAACCTAAACTAAGGCACGCCCATACCACTTTACGACTCAACGACTCGGAGAAAGACAACGTTATTGTAATAGATTATTTTTGTCTTTCAGGACCCAGTGGTATATCAGGGAGAGAATTTTTATAGGAGCAGCGCTTTGTTGAAGATAAAAACTGCTTATGAATTTACTGATAAGTTTTTAACTGGCAAATGGCTCGTGGGCGACGAGATCACTTTGGCAGATATCTGTTGTGTTGCCAACATCAGTTCGCTTAACGAAATATTGCCTATTGATGCAGAATTGTAAGTTGTATTTTACCACTAGCTGTCGCCCGCGACTCTATCGGCGCGGATTAAAAAAAAATGTAGCCCATGTGTTATTCCTGGCTATGTTCTTTATGTATGCCAAATTTCATCGAGATCGATTCAGCCGTTCTGGAGGTAACTTCAAACAAACATCCATCCATTCATCCATTAATCCATTGATCCGTGTAAATATTTGCAATTATTAATATTAGTAAGATAAATGGTAAAATAAATATTTATATTTGTCGTGATTTTATCTAAAATGTATTGTTTTGTTTTTTTGTTAATTATTTTCCATAGTAATATTTATTTAAGCCTGCCAAGTTTGTTCGTCAAATTAATTTTTACAGGTACCCGAATTTAGCGCAATGGCTAGAAAATTGTAAAGAGCAAGAATTCTATAAGAAAGGCAATAAATCAGGACTGGAAGAATTTAGTGCCTTGTTACAATCACGTCTCGCTTAAAAATGAACCACTGTTATTAGCTGAAACTTCATCATCATTCATCATCAGCTTACTATACGTCCCCACCGAGGGGCTCAAAGCCTACCCTAAGTTAAGGGTGATTGGGCCATAGTCAACCACGCTGGCTCAGTGCGGGTTGGTTGACTTCACACATATCTTTGAATTTCTTTTCAGCTTAAACTTGCAGATTACAAAATATCGAAATAATTTGCTAGATGCATCTTAAAAATAAACTTTTACTGCGATTTGTGATTTGTTTTAATTATAATTTTAATACGTGGAAATATTGAAGCTCTTAATATGCAGTATATGTTGCTAGAATACATTTTAAGCTTTCTCCAAAGCAAATGTAGTCATAGATCTACTATTTATAATTAAAAAATATTACATATCTTTGAGACAAAAGCCTTTTTTTGATCCACGAATGAAATGAATCAATGCTTTCAGGACGTAGAATTACGTTCAAAGGAAAGAGGTCAGTGTTATAAAAGAGATCACGTCCTATGCAATTATGCAATTTGTGAAGATTGCCAAAAAGCTTTTAGAAATTCTTTCGCAGTATTCAATAAAGAGTTGTCTAGGAAATTCTCTGTCATTTTTAAGTAAGAACAGTGTTGAAAATTGTAAAGCACGGCACTATTGTGTTGTTATGATTTAATCGTAAAGGATTAAAGGACAAATCATTTTAGTTAGTCGTAGTACAAGTAAAAAATGTTTTTAAAATATTGTTTTTTACCCGACTGACAAGAAGAGGGTTTTATTATTCGCTAATATGTAAGTTTTTTTTTATGCAAATCCACGAAAAAGATAAAATTCTGAATTAGTAAAGACGTGTTCAAATCTCACTCGTGATATTTTTATCGCTATATATTTTTTGGGTGATTTTGAGTATTTTCTAAATTAAAAAAGTGTTACATATAACAAGACATTTTCGATTTAATTATTAAAAGTAAAAATTTAAAATCTTTGTTTTAAAATGCATCCAATAGATGGCGCTATTCCGTCCAATATTGCCTTAGTTGTTTTGAAAAATTACCTTGAGTTAATACAGCACATAAATCTTTTGACATCCTTAAGCACTACCGAATTTTAATCACAAACCTGATTACTGATCAAGGAACATAAACATAGATTTATACTTTTATTCATTATATTGGATAATAAATAAGTATGCAATATTTTTTGTACTATTGCGAGATATGTTTAAATATAATTAGACTAGGAACATGTTTATGCCGCATCTAGAATACTAATAAATCTTCATTCATAAAAAATGCCGTGGGACCGGTTTTATTGAGCAGCACTCGACATACATTGTCAGATCTACAGCGGCGTTACGCGCAATCGACTGTGTCCGTTCAACTAAACAATTTAAAAGGTATGTTTATTCATATTTGGTTTAAAACATTATTATTACTGTGTTCATATAATTTTACATATTTACATTAGCTTTGTAAAATTGTGATTAAATTAAAGTGTACACAATATTCATAATATGCACAGGACAAAAACTGTTTATTGTAAATTTTAAATTCTATACAAACGTAACTAACACAATTTTTACCTATTTATTACTATTCTATAACAGTCTTAAAACTATCTAAGAGGATTTTATTGTACGTTCCTCATACAGACATTATATTTTATAACTTAATACGCAACTTATGCTAGGAAAATCTATGAATTTGCAGGAAACAAAAGATAGTGATAAATTACCAAAATGTTCACCATATCAAAAAAACTTAACATTCGTTTACACGAGTGCTTCTTAACGGCTATTATCATGTTATTTAGTGATACGTTTCTATGTGTGCGTAATATCACCATCCTAAATGTGTCTGTGTGTGTATTGAGATATCTAGTAGTGAGTTATCTTAGTAAACATAAGAGTTCTTATATCAGAATTGAATAAAAACAACTTTGTTATATCTTATCATTCCAATAACGTAAATGGCGTCGACTTTTGTATTTTAGTAAATATAGCGATCAATTGAATAATCAGTTTTTTTACTAATACTTTATCCAAAAATTACTCTTTTCATATATTTTTTTTAAATTGAACAAACTGTCACCCGCGACTCCGTCTGTGCGGAAATAAAAAAAAAACTTAATTAGTATACTATGTGCTCATCCAGACTATGTGTATGTATGTATATGTTCTATATCTAACCAAAATTTCCGCGAGATCCATTTAGCCGTTCCGGAGATTCCTTCAAACAAACATCCATCCATCCATCTAAACATTCGCATTTATAATATTAGTAAGAAGTAAGATATATTAAATAATCCAGCGCTTGACTACGATACCACCTGAAGTTGTTATGATGCGATCGAAAGACGGTACGCGCTTTCCTAATAAATACCTATTCACTCTACTATAGAAGGCTCCCACGTCATACATGGACAGAAAAACTAATGCTGGCAATTTGTTTCAATCCTTCGGTAGTTTTTGTTATTAACATAATACTATTATTATAATCTTCCTTCTTACTAATATAAATGCAAAAGTATAGATAGTTACATTTGGAAAGTAATATCTTCAGACCAGCTTAATGGATCTTGGTGAAATTTGGCGTAGATGTAGAACATAACCGGAAAGAACACATAGGCATATTTTATTAACCGCGTGGGCAGAGCTGCGGGTAAAAGCAAGTCTTTCTTAAATTAAAGAAAAATAGCATTTACATATATCATAAGAAAGTCGCTGGGAGTTTAGGATTTAAATATTATAAGTCGAAGTTATAAATATTTTTCCACATTCGAAATGTGAGACCTATTTGTATTTTGCGTCATTTCGATATATTAAATATTAATATAAAAATGTTATTCATAGTTTAAGCAGAGAAGTAATTATGGTTAGATTTAATAGATTCTGTTTTTTGTTTTCAGGAATTACAATCATGGTTTTAAAGCTATACAAGTTGGACGCCAGCCCACCGGCGCGGGCAGTTATGATGACCATTGAAGCTGCAAACATTCCGAATGTGGAGTTTGTCGATGTTAATTTGTTAGAGAAAGAACATTTAAAAGAGGAATACTTAAAGGTGAGTTTATTGTATAAACAGATAAACAAAGTTTGCGTGTTTAGTAAAATAGCGTTACTGATAAGAATTTTCGTTTTAAATTTCGGTCCGTATGTTGTCCGCTCGCAAGTCTGCGTTTGTTCCAGGCAATCTCTTAAACGTATGCAGGAGCAACAATCTATTTTTTTATTAATTTAACCTTCACAAAGTTGTAAGCAATAGCTAACTTAACCATCGGTGTTTATATTGGGGTATTCATAGACTAAGACACCGAATTAAAAAGAAATCCAAATCAAATAAATATTGTCATCATCAGCTCACTATACGTCCCCACCGTAGGGCTCGGTGTCTACCCTATGTAAGGGGTGACTAGACCATAGTCAACCACGCTGGCCAAGTGCGGGTTGGTTGACTTCATACATATCTTTGAATTTCTTCTCAGATATGTGCAGGTTGGATCGAAAAACACATTGGTACATGGCGGTATTCGAACCCAGGACCTGCAGATTGCAAGTCAAGTGCGTGACTCCTGAGCCACCGACGCTCTAATAGTTTTTTTTCTGTATTAATGTCCGGTATTCGCTTACAATTTTTAAATATAGATATATAGACACAATTTGCGCCGATTACGTAACTCAAGGTTAAAGTCGTGCACAAACATATCGACTTTACAATTACCATAGTTAGTTGCTGTAATTTTATATTTAAAGTTTTCCTTTTGAAATACAATACTATCAAATCTACACAATCGCGAGAGTTATAATCCGAAAATGTATCGTGAATAGCGAAACCACTGTCAATATTTTTTTGCCCTCGACTAATGAAACTGCAATGAACAGGATCTCGAACAAGAAGAGTCGACTATACTAGAATTATTGGGAACTAGCTAATATATATTAGCCTGTGACCTTCGTCCTCGTGGTATTAAACGTCAAGTCGTTCTCTTATATCCCTTACATTCTATTTGGAAAGTCAAGAACCACAGTATTAACAAGAAGTCGAAACTCTAAATAAATAATTAGGTACGATGCTTCGTACATAATTCCTTATTGAAACAATTCTATTTCATTTCAGAAAAATCCACAACATACTGTGCCAACTTTGCAAGACGATGATTTTTATGTTTGGGACAGGTAAAATATTTTTAAAACTACTAAAAAAGCTAATCATTTAAGAAAAAAAAAGTTATTAAGAAACAATTCACCAGATATTACTTAGAAAAGATAAAATGCATTACATTAAAAAAAATCCAAATTAAGAGTTGAAGGTACTAGAACAGCGCAGCGATTTGGTGTCGACTTTTTATATTATTTAGTTTTATTTTTAGTTTAGTTTAGTTTTAGTATATAGTTTATTTAATATAGTATTAATTAATTCATTTGTTTTGTAGTTGTTAGTTACTTAGTAAGGTACTAGAAATTTTAATAGCAATATTTATCTGAATATTAAAACTTGATTTCAGTCACGCAATAGCTGTATATTTACTAACAAAGTACAGCAAAAACACCACACTATACCCATCGGATCCTAAGCAGCGGGCAATCATAGACCAAAGACTACATTTTGATACCGGCATCCTCTTCCCGAGCCTACGTGGCGCTATCGTAAGTAGAATTTTTATACTATGTCGTAAATTATAACACTAGCTGTCGACCGCGACTCCGTCCGCGCGGCATTAATAAAACCTAATAAGTAGCCTTTTTATATATAGAAGGGACAAACGATCAACGAATAGCTTAAAATTATTTGACTCGACGCCCATGGACATCCGCAACGCCAGAGGAACCGCAGATGTTCTTCCAGACTATGTTCTATATTTATCCCAAATGTAATCAAAATCCGTGGAGCTGTTCCGGAGATACCTTGAAACAAGCATCCATCCATCCATCCAAACATTTGCGTTTATAATATAAATAAGATAGTAAGATGCAATAGTGCACAACTTAACCGATTTATTGCTTCAAGACAAAATTAAAGTTGACAACACCATATTGTAGAAATCGCAATATAGTCTGATAGTATAGACACAAAGATTTGTCTTTATACGTAAGGAACACGAAATGCCTATACTTGGCTGATTAATGCGTTCTGTTTTGTGTACATTAAACTGGAATTATAATTTATATTTAATTGTTACAGGAACCGGTAATTTTCCGTAGTGATAAAGCAATTAAACCGGAAGCATTTGAAAAAATCAAATCTGGTTATGACTTCTCTGAAAAATTTCTGACTAAGCAATGGGTCGCCGGCGACGAGTTTACTTTAGCCGATATTTTCTTCATGGCTTCGATTAGCTCATTAAATGAGATATTACCGATCGATGCCGCAAAGTAAGTTTTTTTTTAATCTCCGAACTTTATATTGCTATCTAAATTTTTACATTGTAAAGTGACTAACGAGAAAGCGGCTACCTGAAGCGACTGCTGCCCATAGACATCCGCAAATTGCAGATGCGTTGCCTTAATTTGACGAAAGAGGAGACGCACAGAAAAATAATCTTTATAGCGTCGTTTCCTCCATAAAATCCCCTTCCCATCTGTTGGCTAGGATAATTTACATACATAAATAAATAACAATACAAAAGGCATGTACGCAATTCCAAAACAAACACATTCACCTTTTTCTCATCACCACACTTTTTATTCATCACAATATTTTAATCATACTGTATAATACAGAGGGGGAAAAAAATTAACTTTGTAATACCAAATATATTTACTTTACAAATATAAGATCATATTGTAGAACATAGTATGTTTTAGTAGTATCAGATGTCATAATTAAAGTCTGTTTTCAGGTACCCTAAACTCACTGCATGGTTGAATCGCTGCAAAGAGCTAGATTATTACAAGAAAATGAATGAGCCGGGAAATCAACAACTCGGAGCTTTAGTTAGGAGTAAACTTGCTTGAATTACTGATATGTCTTTGGCTAATGACCACAACCTTTGTAAATTTTTCTATTTCTACGCTATTAAATGATTTTAAATACGTATACGAGCATTTTATGACATACTTAACCATATATATTACGAATTTTATAAATTAGAATGTTCAGATGGATAAATGTCTGTTAGAAGGTATATCCCGAATAACCTGCGTGGATCTCGCTGAAATTTGGCATAGATGTAGGACATGGTCTGGGAGAAAATAAAAATTACAGCTTGATACCTCCACAGATTCTTGAGAAAAACGGGTCTTGTCTTGTCAGATAGACGTACGGACAACAATGTGATCCTGTAAGGGTTTTTTTTCCTTTTGAGGTACGGAACCCTAACAAAGGCTACTAATTAGTTTTATTTAATTCTCGCTGACGGTGTCGTGGATAACAGTAGTAATTCAAATTTGAATTGAGAATAAACTAATGAACTAATATAATCAATCACCCATTACCTAAGAAAAGCGAAAATAATGTGTAAAAGTACGGAAAAAGTAAGTGATTTTACTGTTTTTTTTTTCATTTAGAGAAAATTAATTGCGACGTCTGCAATAAGCGCTAGAGACTCAGGAATCAGTCTAAAGAATGAAGAAAAATTGCTCAACTACTTTTAAAGTAATTTAAATCTTATTTAAATTTCAAACTTAGCTCTTCGTTTATTATCACTTAAGTATCACATAAAAGTATAAATATTATTATAGTTTTTAAACGTTAAAATATTACTAAAAAAATGATATGGTAACCTCAAGGTCCAATTTTCATTACAGTTCTAACAATGATACTATATATGAATACTTCATAATTTTATTGCCAAGTTTAAAGTCCGTTTAAGATATTATTTACTGGAAAACATATATCATTATTATTAAGTCAATCGATTTATAAAACATAGTGTATGATAATTACATAGATCCGAAAAAAAGACAGTAGACAGTTAAAGTGAGTCGTAAAACTGTTTAAATATGTATTTCAAATGTCGAAATAATTTTGTATCATCAAATATAAAAAAACCCTAAATAAAGTCAATAACCAATTTTAAGTAAAACTAGATTTTATGACCTTGAATTTAATTGTTTTTTTTTCTTAAATTTCGCATTTTATACATGCATTTATCCGATGTTGTTACGTAGAAAGAAATCGTAATGTAATCTACACACAACTGTGTAGAATTAAAATCACGTGTTCAATGTAAACCAACTCGCACAATTCAAAATTTATGTTTTACTAAGCCCTAAGTAACCTTAAACATATTTATATAGGTTCATCCTCTAGTTACGAGCTGACCACGTATTGTATAGAGTAAGTATAACAAAGATGGCATTTAATTGCAAATCCTGTTGAGGCCAAATTTCCATTCGACGTCATTAAGCTCACGAATAAAACCGTAAAAGCGACGAAAAATTTGCAGTAAAACGCTTAATTTGAATACGTCTGAATGTAAGGTCGTTAGTGTGCCCGAGTATAACGGCCTCAAACCAAAAACCGTTTTATGTGATTCATGCCACTTCCTGAAGCCTTAATTAAATACAGGATGTTGAAACCCTTTACCATCTATTTACATTAATTTACTTAAAGGATTCATTTTAAAATTATACTTAAAAGAAAATGTTTTCACTTTAAAAACATCCTAATATCGTTTAACTTTATATATAGCTAGCTGTCGCCCGAGACACCTTCTGCGCAAAATAAAAAAATAATAATAATAAGTAGCCTATGTGTTCTTCCAGACTAAGTACTAAAACTGTCCCAAATTTCATCAAGACCCGTTGAGCAGTTCTGGAGATACCTTCTAACAAATATTCATAAACCTAAACATTCGCATTTATAATAATTGTAAATAGTAATTTATTTCTGCCACATTCACATTCGCTTTAAAACTTTTTTTGTGTTCAAAATGTCGTGGTAAAAAAAAAATCCCAAAAGTCATCGTCAGAAATGCTTTGAAAATACAGCCAACGATATCATTTCAACAATTTCGTTTATATTATTTAAATATTAATTATTTCTATCAAAGCGGCGTGTTTTCTCTAGTTGACAGTAATTTAAAATGTAAATGAGTACTCTGTACACTATTTACTAGACTCGTTTCCAACATCAAAGTCTATGCCGTCTCTAGTCGCTTCGCAAACTGTGCTTTTGCGTTATTCGTTTGTTTAATCTGATGTCTGCTAAAACAAGTGAATATAAAACACATTCATTTACGTCAAAGACAAAAATCTTACCAACATTGTAATGGGAATGTTCCGATGGATGGATGTTTGTTTGAAGGAATCTTCAGAAGAGCTCCATAGATCTTGATGAAATTTGGCACAGGTGTAGAGCATAGTCTGGAAGAACACATAGGCTACTTATTAAGTTTTTTTTTAATTCCCCGCGGTCAGAATTGCGGGTGACAGCTAGCATTTAAATAATTATAGAGCAGACATTTGAAACACGAAATTACAGATTAATTGTTTGTGGGAAATTAAAAATGTAATTACAAAGGCGTAAAAAATTAAAATTAATAATATTACGAAATTTACATAATACTTTTCCATGTTTCGCGAAACTAGCAATTCTTATAAGCAAAACTAAGATCTTCGGGATAAAGTTTTTCATACATATTATAATTAAAATGAAAATGAATTATAAACACATTAAAATTAATTGTCTGTACCGCAAACGTCAGTAGAAAATAAACACATTTAGACGTGTCAAAGTAGACTTCTTACCTTGGTAAAACAACAATCATAAGATAACAAGTCTACCACAATGTAACGTCTTCTTTTCAGTGAATCACCATAGTTTTCACCTCAAACCTATTAGGTAGAAAATCTGAAAATGTAACAGTGTGTAGACCCAACACTAGCCTTACTAAAATGTCGACGTTTATGTCCCCTCACTATTCATTATGCCACTGGACTTTGTAACGAAAGCACGTCATTCGCGCCAAATGATTCTAACTAATACCATCTAAAAAATGCAATGACGTGCCATCTTTCGATCACATCATCACTTAACATCAGGTATGATCGAGGTCAAACTCTACCATATTCAATAAAAAAAAATCTTAATTAGGCACATATAAAACATTACTATTCTATAAAGCTATTATTAATTAGTATATTAATTTAGTTAGGATTCGAAGTATGTGCTATTCTATTGAACAAACACATACAGAAGTAAAACACAAAGCCAAACTTCTGATAATACTTTAAATTAACAAAGCGCACTGGGAAAATGGAATGTAAATCATAAAAGTAGTTCGCGCATAAATTCTCATCATTTTCTCAACAGATACCCATCTCGGACTGTTATTGTTTTTCTTTTAAACTAACAAAATGGAAGAACATTAATTTTCTCTTGCCAGTAGCCGGGATAGCAATTTATTGCTCTCTTTCTACGTAGAGAGAATATAAACTTTTGATAGGCGGAAGACAATATTACCTAAGGTTCAAATTAATATATGAAGATTGAAACTTTGGGTTTGTAATTTTAATTAATAACTATAATCTTAAACATTTGTAATATTTCAAGCTAGCTGTCACGCGTGATTTCATCGGTGCGGAATGAAAAAAAAACTTTATAAGTAGCCTTTGTGTTGTTACCTAAATCTCATAGATCTTGGTAAAATTAGACAAAGATGTAGAACACGAAAAAGTATCCATGCAGCCGTTCTAAAGATACCTTCTAACATACATCCGTCCATCTAAACATTCGCATTTATAATATTAGTAAGATGTGTTCGAACCCTGTACACTTACAAACCATTTTTATATCATATTATCTTCCATCTTATGATAAAGGACGTAATTATCTAAAAAACCACTGAAAGATCGTCAAAAAAATTATCTTAAAAGCATCATGTTGTAAAGGCTTTAAAAATATTACCTGCAAAGGTTTCATGACTAACACGCTCATCTTCATAAAAGTATGTAATCACTTAAGTCTCCCATTTTTTCAAAGCTTTTGTCTCAACACTTAGTATAATATACATTATCATAATATAAGTTGTAAAATGTACTTAAATTACTAATAACATATAAACTACAGTTTGACCACAAACCCACGTGATGGTAAATAGTAATCGCTGAAATAGCGAAGTGACCGTTGCCCATAGACATACGCAATTGCATATGCGTTGCCTACCTTTAATCGACGGAGGAGAGGATACACAGAAAGAAAATATTTTCCCTTCCCATGCATCCCTCTCATCCGGAAACTCCACTTCCACTTCCTTATAAAAAAAAGGGAAAAAAGGACTAAATTAGGCCTCCGTGACGCACACTCATCAGACGAAACGCGGAATTGCTTCCACTTCACGCCTGTCTTCTGTGTGGTCGTGGTATTTCACCGGGCGAGCCGGTCCAATTCGTGCGAAGATTTTAAAGCGGGCTCTACCACTGTTAATCTAGATCTAAATCTGATGTGAAGTATAATACGAAATCTTTTCACAAAAATGAATAATTTTTATTGAACTTATTTCATTAGATCGCCAAGTTTGAGAACATATAAAACCTTGTTATATTTGCCTTTCATTTTATTAAGTTAATTATGAAAACAAAATAATCAAACTAATTAAAACAAAGTCTTATAAAAACACTCGCGTCTCATATGATTGAAACAACTGAGATAACAAACTTAATATTAATGAGTCTGTTGCAGAATGTTTACAATGATTCCCGCCGGCGGCGCTGCGGTACAGAGAACGAGGGTTTTGCGCACATTTACAATGACTCAATTCGGTCTTCATATTGCGAATTTACAACGCCGAAACACATATCAAAATATACTATCATATACTTATCATTATCTTATAAAACAACTTAACAAAATATTGTTTTGTACACCTAGTCTGCATTACTATGTTTATACTAGCTATCGCCCGCGATTCCGTCTATGCGGAATTTAAAAAAAAAACTTAATATGTAGCCTATGTGATCTTCCAGACTATGTTCTACATATATGCCAAATTTCAACAAGACCCATGCAGCCGTTCCAGAGATATTTTTAAACAATCATCCATCAAAACATTCGTATTTATGATATTAGTAAAATTAGTAAGAAATTTACAAATT